AGAGAGAGAAACATTGATGTGAGAGGAACATCAACTGGTTGTCTCCTGAAGGCACCCCAACTGGGGATCAAACCCAGAATCTGGGTATGTGCTCTGAGTGGGAATTGAACCCACAGCCTTTTGGTGTACAGGATGATGCTCCAAGCAACTGAGCCACATTGGCCACACTTTCTTTTTAAAAATAACAGATTTATTGAGATATATTTTTGAGATATATTTATTGAGCTATATTTCACATACCACACAATTCATCCATTAGTACATTCACTATTTTACTGTTGTATCACTCCTAAAAGAAACCCCAAACTGTTAGCGGTCACTCCCCATTTCCTCCAAACTCCTCCCATTCCCACCACCACCCCAGCTCTCACTAATCTACTTTCTGTTTATACATATTTGCCTATTCTGGACAATTCATAAGTGGAATCATACATATGCAGTCCTTTGTGACTTGCTTCCTTCACTTGGCATAATCTTTTAAAATTTTATCTATATTGTAGTATGAATCAATGCTCCATTCCTTCTAATTGTTATTGGTGGAAGTGGAGTATCCATCGGTGGAAGCAGGGAATCCCCTTCCCCACTGGGTACTTAGGGTCAGGTCCTTACAATATCTCAAGAAAAAGAATTTTCTGAGACTCGCTTGGGAGGATGAGTGATTTTTATTTGCGTGGAATTACATCCCTTGGTTTCTAAAGTCTCATCTCCCTTAATCCAGGACTGGAAGAGATGCAGCTGGGCGCTCAGCAGAGTTAGAAGCAAAGCCAGTGTCCAGAGTCTCTGATCCATGGTGCAGCTGGGTCTGGTGTAGCATCAGGCTAGTTGCAGTCCATCAGCCCTTTGTGTGGGGTCCACATGGCTGTGGACCATGTGGGTAGATGCAGGAGCGTGAGAGTCCCACAAACCAGGAGTACGATCCAAGAGGTAAGAGGCAAGAGATGTATCTCAAATCTTTCTGCTTGCAGTGGCCATGCCAACTCTGGCCAATGATCTGTTCCCAGGTGTGACTGGCAGGCAAGTACCTTCCCTAAGTCATGCAGGTTAATTACAATGATATCATTATGATTAATATTCCAGTGTATAAATATACATTCTGTTTATCAGCCGATGGACATTTTGGGTTGTTTCTGCCTTTGGCTATTATGAATAATGCTGCTATGAACATTCATGTACAATGTTTTGTGTGGACAGATGTTTTAATTTCTCGTGTGGACACTTAGGAGTGGAATTGCTGGGTCATATGTTAACTCTATGTTTAACGTTTTGACGAACTGCCAGACTGTTTTCCTAAGTTCATTCACTATCAGTGTATGAGAGCTCTAATTTCTTCACATTTTCATTGACCTTAATTGTTATGCTTTTTTTTTTTTTAAATTTTAGCCATCCTAAAGGGTTTGAAGTGAAATTTCATTATATTTTTGTTTTCCATTTTCATAGAGGCTAATGATGCTGAGCATGTTTTCATGTACTTATTGGCCATTTGTATATCTTCTTTTTATTTAAAAAAATTTTTTTATTAATTTTTAGAGAGAGGAAGGAAGAGGGAAAGAGAGAAACATCAGTGAGACAGAACATCGATTGGCCGCCTCCTGCATGCCCCCCACTGGGGACTGGGCCCACAACCTGGGCATGTGCCCTGACCAAGAACTGAAGCGGCGACCTCTTGGTGCATGGGTCGACGCTCAACCACTGAGCCACACCTGTTGGGCGAGGAATAAAAGTTTTAAAAATTGATGATATTCAATTTTGTTGCTTTTGGCTCCCATTTTGAGAAACATAGCTAGAATGCAACTTGAAACTCTGGAAGCTTTGTCACCAAAAGTATGGTGGAGCTTTATAAGTCATCATTGACAGGAAATCTCCAAGTTTGGGATTTCATTCCTCATCCCAGTCAGCCCTGGCTCCTTCTCAGGGCTGGATGCACAGAGCCCCAGGGACCTTCATGGTGTTTACATCCCCTCCCACTCCTAAAGTCTACCACAATAGAGCAGCTGAAATGACAGTTTGGAAATGTCCTTTATTGTGAAAACTCAATGGCCTTTGTCTCTGGGATTTGAAATTTTGATGCAAATATTGGCAGCCAAGAGTTAGGAAGGAGGAGGGTAAGGGCCAGGAGAAGAAACCATGCCATTGATTTCCATAGTGAGTCATTTCTACTCTATGTTGTCTTGGTTTTCTCGCCCATAAAATGGGGAACATACCTCCATCTCCCCATCTCAGTGGGTGTACTATGAAGATGAATTAATCTGTATGTGTTAGAACACTTTAAGATCTTGGATTAAAAGCATTATTGAGGCACAAGGTATTATTATAATAATAAATGATTTAATAGCTGGGAAGGTGAAGCTACTAAAGCAAGAACGGGTAGGGGCAGGAAGGAGAGAGGCTGTGAGTTTTGGAGGGGCTGCAGCCTAGAACGCCTGGGCCCAGACACAGGTTTTTATTCTTGGAAGCAAGATTGTGTGATATCTCCCAAATGGTTTGGGTTGTTTCACCTAAATTCAGCATTGCTTTACTGAGTGCTTCCCATATGACTGATGCTGTAAGGAAACATGACCATCTTTTTTAGAAATAATATACATTAAGACAATTAGAAACAATGCAAGACATTATAATCAAATGCTTAATTGAATATAACAAGTCTCAAAAAAAAAAAAAAAAAAGAATAGCCCAGCCAGTGTGGCTCAGTGGATTGAGCATGTCCCATGGACTGAGAGGTCCTGGTTTGATTCTTGGTCAGGGCACATGCCTGGTTTGCCAGATCCATCCCCAATGGGGGATGTGAAGGAGGCAGACAATCCATGTTTCTCTCACACTGATGTTTCTATCTCTCTCTCCCTTCTTCTCTCTAAAGGATCAATAAAAACATATTAAATTAAAAAAAGATAGAAAGAAAGAAGAGTTGGTGATGAAGAGCAGTGTTCCCATTATGAATCCCAGGTCTACCACACTAGCGTGTGACCTTGCCTCCTGTTTCTTCTTCTGTGACTGCAACTGTTCCCTTGAAGGGCTTAGAGTGATGGCTAGCACATAGGAAGCACTCAATGTTGGACCTATCTGGGATTTTGTCAGGCACTCCTTTTGCTGGTTATGCCATCTTGGCCAATTCAGTAGATTCCTCCCATCCTCAGTCTATCTGGGGCTAAGTGTAGTTCCTTGCTCACTAGGCAGAAGGAGGACAATGTAAATCGCACAGCACCTTCAAATGGCAAGCATTGGCTAAATGAATTACTATTACTGTCATGAGCAGTATTACCCTCCCTGGGGGAGGAGTAAGGGGTGCGCTCATGGCTTAGTTGAATCAGGAGCCTTCTCTGGAAGCTGGAATATGAGGTGGGCAGGAAGGTATTGGTAGGATTCAGGTGAGCAGAGAAGAAAGTGGGATCAAAGAAAGACGGAAGCCTGAGGATGGACTGCTGTCTGGAAGGCAGGAAGGACCGGGCCTTTTCCATTTTCCCTGCAGCCGGGAGCCTGGCCGGCTCTATCTGGTAGAGCCTAGAGCCCTGGCAGCTGTTTACCTCCGACCCCCCTTACACATTCTCGACTTTCACCTTCCGGGCGGCTGGTGTAGGACTCTGCAAGGATAGAGCAGACCCCCCCTTCCTGAGGAATGTGGGTCCCGCGTTCCGGGCTGGCCAGACCCAGCGCGTGCCGCCTCCCCGGCAGCGAGGAGCCAGGAGCCCCGCTGTCTTCACCCCACCCTCTGCCAAGATCCAGTTTCAAAGTCACCTGAAGGCCGTTTCCTTCCGCGTCCGCCCTCCGCCCCCGCCCCGTAAACCACCTGGAGCAATATTTTGACTGGGCGGGGGTGGGGCGGAGGGGGGTTTTGTTTTGCTTTTAACGAGAATTCTGGAAGCACCATTTACTGTACACAGTGGTCTTCACCTGTATATCAAATATACCTCGTGTCTTTCCTTCTCCTTAGGAACCAGCGATAACACCTAACCAGTGGGACCTCTTCCAGGGTCCCGACCTGAGCGTCTCTCCTCTTGACTTGTGCTGGGACAGCATCTTTTCCCAGGACCGTTATTAATGAATCATTCCGGGTTTTTAAATTGTATGCTCTTGCTCAAAATCCAACCTGCCCCATCCCCTCCCCCATTTTCAGGTGTATATCTTTCCATGCCCATGATTCCACACAGACATAAAGACAGATTTCTGTCTTCGTTTTACAAACATGGGGTCCTCTATTACCATAGGTTTCTGCACCCCCCTCGCCCCCACAGTCTCTTGGTGGACTACCTCCAAGTAATCGGCTTCATCGCTTGTCAGCTTCTCACAGGTTAAAGGGTCATGGGAACCTTGATCCTAGCGGTGAGGAATTCAAGATGTTCCTTTTTGACTTAGAAGAGCCGAGGCTACCTGCTGTGGTGCGTTCAGGACCCCCCCAATCGGATCCCATCTAGTAACTCATTTGAAAGCCCCCTGTCCTGTCCGTACAAGGGGGATGTTTGGGCTGTCCGGGAGCCCTCTCGGGAGGCGGTGATGTCAGGTATGTGACGCCAGGGGACCCCCACCACGTGCGTCTTTCCATCTCGGAGCCTCGAGGCTGTCCCGGAGCGACACCGTGGGTCCGCGCGCTCGCCCCACCTGCAGGCGTAAATCATCAGCCTCTGGCGAGCCCGGCGGCCAGCGCAGCCTTTCCCCCCGCTCCACCTCGCAGCGCCGCCGAGTTTCCCGGGCCCCCGCCGAGCCGCCAATCGCGGGATTCCAGCCGCGGCCCGAGTCTCCACCCACTGGAAAAATTCCTGGCCCGTCCCTCCCTCTCTCCTCCCTCTCTCCTCCCTCCGCTGCGGCCCGGCCCGGCCCCGACTTCCTGCCGGGCGCTGGGAAGCCGCGCGCGGGCTGGAGTCCCTGGGGCCGCGCTCGCTGTTGGCCGCGCTCGCAGCGGCCGCGCCGCAGGGGCTGGCAGTGGGCGGGAGCGGCCGGCAGCCTCAGCCCCTTCCGAGAGCGCCTTTCAAACTCGCGCCCGCCTCGTCGCGGCCCCGGGGCAGCCTCGCGCACCGTGCGTGCCGGACTCGCGCACCGCCGCCGCTGGGTGAGTGTCCCTGGCCTCTCCCCTCTCTCTCTGCCAGTGCAGCCGGCGGAGTGGCAGTGCCCAGAGTCGCCCCGAGGCTCCCACCCTCCCCGGACGCCCGCCCAGCCCCTGCGGGGTGAGGGCTCCGGGCGGAGGAAGGCCCGCGGCTGCGTCGGCTCCTTCCAGGCGAACCCTCCCGGCCCGGGGCTGGAGCGCGGGAGGTTCTTTCTAGGAGACATTTTCTGTCGTTTAGCCCCCACCCCGGAAACAAAAGGAGCGAACGCGCTGGGTGGCTTCGAGAGGCTCCGTTTAAAACCCGGGAGGTTGCACCCACCCGCTCCCCTACGCGCTTGGGCCCCCGAGGTATGGTCCTTGCCCCGGACTGTGGGCCGGGCGGGTGTACTCTCATGGGAAGGACCCGAGTTTCTGGTCCGGAGAGCCCGAGAGGCGCTAGCAGCTTGAACCGGATTGTGCCACACGGTGCTGGCTCTGGGGGCTCTCAGCTCATGTCCTGTAGAAGTGGGGTGCTAGAAGTGGGGTGCCCGGGATTGGAAACCACAGAGGCCACTTGCCTGGCACCGTCTACCTCGACCTCGCCCACTGCTGAAATCGGTTTGGTTCCTTTGCTCCATATTCTCAGCCCTTTGGTTTGGGAAGCTGGACTAAAGCGTGCAAACTTGAAAATTTCAAGACGTTTTTAAGTAGCTACATTTACTCTTTGGAGCTGCTTTTGAAAACAAAAGGAAGAACGGAGTGGGAAATGTAATGGTGGGAGGCTGGAGAGGTGTGGCCTGGGGGGGGGCGGTCTTAGTGGCGGTGGTTAGAGTTTCATCTCTGAGGTCACTTGCTAAACTGTTGGCAGATGAAGGGGCCTGTCCCCTGCCCTGGGGCCCCCAGGAGGCGACCCAGACTGCAACACCCTACAGGGAACCCTGAAGTGGGGGTTCCTAGAGTCTTCCCAGCCCTGCCTCTGCATGCAGCCCAGTCACACTGACCTTGCTCAAGAAATAATAAGCAGGGAGAGTAGTGACAGCCCCCAAAGGGCTCCCTGCTAAGAAGATTACCTGCCTCCCTTCAGGAAAGTTCCTTTCCAGCCTCTCCTCTGCTGGACTGGGAGTGGAATCCTGAGTGACTTGGCCGGGAGTACCTCACCTCAACCATCCCCAGCAGAAAACCTAGGGAGTAAGAACCAAAAGAAGGTGTACCCCTTCTCTGTTATTCATGCCTTCCTTGTGGGCCTGGGGCACCACCACACCTGCTGATAATACTTTTGCTGCCTCTGCTGCCCACACTCCCTTACAGGAGGGTTGGACAACCCCTTGACTCCCTGGGTATCTTGTTCTGGAGGTGGAGCAAACCAAATCCTAAAAGCAGAGAGAGGGGTTTGTGTAAGAGCTTGGGGCTTTTCTGTTGCCTTTCATTAGAAGTAGCATAGCTGGAGAGTGGAAAGAGCGTGATAGCCTGGGAGTCCAACACAGGATTTTGCCTGAGTTTTAGTCCTGGCTCTACTGCAGGGCATCAAAGACTGAGTCTCTTGGGTTGGAAGGCACCTCACATTTGCCTGTTGCATTTACACGAAGGCAGCAGAGCCCGGAGATGTGAGGTGATTAGAGTCTGGTCCCTGTTGGCCAAAGAGGGATCAGCACTCAGATTTCCTTACTCTATCTAATCCATGCTTTCCCCACGTGACCTGGGCAAATCACATATCTTTTCTAACTCAGTTTCCACATGAGTAAAGTGGGGTACTTGCCTGCTCTTCCTCATAGAGCCTGGAGTGAGGATCAAATGAAGCCACATATGTGGAAAGTGCCCAATAAACTCCTCTACAAAATAAAGGGCTCGACTGTGGCTAGGAGGGGCCCTCTCTAGAACTTTATAATTTCCTGGGTTTATCCCACATGTGCCACAAGGAAGGGTAGATACCAGAAGCCCACGGTGAAAGTTTATACCCCTGGCATGTAGTATCTCATCTCCAGAGTAAACATTTGCCTTACCAAATCCCAGGGTCACCGTGTTTACACTAGAGGAGGCCAAAGGTCATGCTGAGAGATGACCAGGGTTAGAGGGAAAAAGGACTGTTCCAGTATATGGCTTGCCCCTTCACCTCCACCCTACTCTCAGAATCTTGTGAAGGCTCTGGCTGTAAGCCTGGAGGGTTGCTACAAGCCTGGGCTGGAGCTGACCTAGCAGGGTGAGCTTTGGAGCCATCTAGCTATTTTCTGTTGTGCTAGAGGTTAAGGGGACTCTGGGCTTTGGGAACGTGTTGCCTTTGCAGCTGCACTGATGGCTGTTTTCAGCTCCTCATTTGCTCCCCCACCCTGCTGCTTCCCCATCTCAGGCTGCCCCTCTGGCCCAGGCTGCGGCTCTGCCCCATGTCTCTGGCCAGCTGCAGGTCCATAGGCCTTTGTTCCAGGCCTGCCCTCCCCAGCAGGGGCCCTCAGGCTGGGGCCCTGGCAGCTGGAACTCACTACTGCCAGCAGGAAGATTCTACTGGAGTCTCAAGGACCTGGCAGACCCTCATTTCCTCTCCTGCGGCTCATCTTGGGGTCCACCACCTGTCCCAGGCCAGATTCTCATATCTTTTCTCATTCTCTTTCTTTTCCTGAATGGATGGATCATTCTCTTTTTCTTTCTATATTCATACCTCACAGTTCTATTAAATTAAATTAATTAATTAATTTTTGTTAATCCTTACCCAAGGACATTTTTTCATTGATCCCTAGAGAGAGCGAGGCAGGAAAGGAGGGAGGCAGAAAGAGAGAAAGAGAAACATCAATATGCTGCCTCTCGCACACCTGTACTGGGGATTGAGCCTGCAACCCATGCATGTGCCCTGATCAGGAACCAACTGAATTCAACTGGCAGCCTCTTGGTACATGGGTCCACTCTCAACCACTGAGTCACACTGGCCGGGCTCATAGTTTATTTTAAAGCATTCATTTATTCATTCAACACTTACTTATTTGGCACCTACTCTATGGGAGTGCTAGATGCAGGGGACACAGCAGTGAACAAAATATACAACTATCATTGACCTATGGTGTTGACTAATAGTGGGGGAAGCTGACAATAAGCAAGATAAATAATTGAAATAGAAAGCATTTAGCCCTGGCCAGTGTGGCTCAGTTGGTTGGAGTGTTGTCCTGTGCACCTAAGGTCGAGGGTTCATTTCCTAGTCAGGACATACCTAGGTTTTGGGTTCAATGCCTGGACCAGGGAAGCACCGATCAATGTTTCTTTCTCTCTCCTTCCCCCTTCCTCTCTCTCTAAAATCAATAAAAACATGTCCTGCTGGTTCAGTGGTTGAGTGTTGACTCATGCACATGCCCAGGTTGTGGGCCTGATCCTCAGTGGGGGGTATGCAGGAGGCGTCCAGTCGATGTTCTCTTTCATCGATGTTTCTATCTCTCCCTCTCCCTTCCTCTCTCTCTAAAATCAATAAAGAGCCCTGGCCAGTTTGGCTCAGCAGTGTTGGCCTGCGGTCCAGAGAGACCTGGGTTCGGTTCCTGCTAAGGGCGCGTACCTCACTTACAGTTTGTCCCTGGCCCTGGTTGGGTTGTGAGAGCCACAGCTACTTGATGTGTCCCTTTCATGTCGATGTTTCTCTCTCTTTCTTCCTCTCTCTCCCTCCCACTCTATCTGAACAAAAAATGGAAAAATGTCCTCAGGTGAGGATTAAAAAATATATATATATATATATATATAAATAAATAAAATCAATAAAGAAAAAAATCAATAAAAACATATCCTTGGGTGAGTATTTTTAAAAATACCCAGCTGGTGTGACTCAGTGGTTGAGCATCGACCCATGTATCAAGAGGTCACTGGTTCGATTTCAGGTCAGGGCACATGTCCAGGCTGTGGGCCAAATCCCCAGTGGGGGCATGCTGGAGGCGGCCAATCGATGTTCTGTCTCATCGATATTTCTCTCTCTCTCTCTCAAATCAATGAAAGAAAAACAAAGAAAAAGCATTTTAGTGATAAGCAGAAAAATATGATAGGGAAGTTGGATGTGAATTATAAAAGGAGTGAGATGATGTTTAAGATGGGGTTGACTGGGAAGCAACTGGAGGAAGGGATGTTTAGGATAATGCCTGAAGGGGATATTTCCCTGCGTCTCTGATTTTCTTTCTTGAAACCCTGTTCAAGCAACACACTGTGGAATTGGACGCACCGGGGTTCAGGTCCCAGCTTGACAGCTTACTAGCTGTGTGGTGCTAAACTCCTTTGTGCCTGTGTTTCTCTCATGGAAAATGGAGAAAAAAAACGTCCTCATGCTTATCACTGTTCAGTAAATGATAGTCTCATTAGTTCTCCAACCAAATTCTGCAGGAGTAGCCTAACATATTTAATGCTAAGGACAGTAGATGAGAAATTTTTATTTATTTATTTATTTTTATTTTTTGGTTAATCCTCACTTGAGGATATTTTTCTGTTGATTTTAAGATACACTGGACTGGAGGGAGAGAGAGAGAAACATCGATGTGAGAGAGACACATCCAGTGATTGCCTCCTGCACGACCTCAAACAGACCTGGATCAAACCTGGAACATGGGTATATGTTCTTGATGGGGAATCAGACCTGCAACCCTTCTGTCTGCTGGCTGACCCTTTAACTGCTGAGCCAAACTGGCCAGGGCAAGTTTTTATTTCATTTATTAGATGGGAATGGGGAATTAGAGGGAGGCGAAAGTACAAAGCCTAATTAGTGCAGACTTTCTAGTTAGTGAGGACACTAGGATCCAGATGGTTGAAAATGTAAAACTCACAGGTGTGTGCTGCTTCCTGTGACTGGCTGGGCTGGGGGACATCCCTGACCCTCCCTTGCTCTGGAATTTCCTCTGTTTCCAACCAGCCCTGATGAATCACACCTTAGTCTCTGGCTCTACTCTGCCTGGGGCTGGGAAGGCTATGTGCCCCTCCCCCAGTGTCTGGAGCTGTGTTTGCTGGGGTGGGAGTGTGGGCGAAGGGGTTGAGGGAAATGAGGAAGGGGCTGGGAGAGTTGGGCAGATGGTAGGCCG